TATATATATATATATATATACAAATTTATTTTAAATGAAAATATAATTTTTAAAATTAAAAAACTCTAAGCCAAGTATAATATATAACTGCGTAAACACTGCGATAATTTTTTAATATTTGAATTACGTAAAAGCCAGTCTATACTTAGCACCTGAAGATTGCGTTGTGCATGAAACTCCGAGTCATGATTTCGGTGTGGGATAATAATAATAATAATAATAATAATAATATATATATATATATATATAATATTAATCAATAAATATATTTTTCTTAACGTTCTCTGATAAAATTCACCTTGTTCAATGTGCCGCGTCCCTTCAGATTACAGCGATGATGCTCTCCACAACTTCCTATTTAGTGCGCCACTTAGCAGTTTGTCTTTGCTAACGATCCTGACCCCCGTTCCGCCATCCGATCGCATAAATTTGTCAGGTATGTAGCGCGATGCCGGCTTCTGTGAAAATCTTTCACAAATAGTAAATATGTGAACAGCACAATGCTTTCTAAGTATATCTGGGAAATTAAAAACAAAACGCACATCACAACAAAAATATCTTGGAAATGATCGTCAGCTTACAACAACCAATCAAAAACTTGCAAACTTTGCTTCGAGGAAAAAATACCTATCTTTACCTTCCTAGTCTAAAATAAATTATTAAATAAAAGATCCGAGCTCATCTCAAAATGCAGATATGAAAACAAATTTTTACTACGTTACTTAAAAATCGAAAACGGAAAAAATAAAATAAAACCATAAATAAATAAACAAAAAGATAATAAAAGAAGCAAAAAATTAATTAACCCAAACAAATTACTAAATCACACCTGTTAGAATAGATGAAATAGAATAAAAAAATAATAAACAAAATCAATGAACCCAAATAAATAAAGTAAATAATAGACAATTTAGCAAGCCATTATGACCAAAATATTAGTTAGACTATAAAAATTAAACCAAAAATCGGACGAAAAAAATCAACACGAAAATTTAATAAATAGCTTTAATTATCTTCCCAAACGAAAACAAAACTATTAAATAAGCTATATAAACAAATTTTTACTCCGTTAATAAAAACACCGATTAAAATAAAAATAAAAAATAAAAAACAAAAATATATAAAAACAAGCAAAATATTTTAACCTAAATAAATAAATAAACAAATAAACGATTTCCGCCAAAATAGACTACCCACAATGCACCACTGACCCGAATATATATAAATAGCCGAAAAAAAAATCACTCGTGGCATGACGATGGTATCTAGCATGAAACAGGCTGTCGCCTCTAAGTGTTGACTGCTATGTTCCCTTATATATATATATATATATATGTGTGTGTGTGTGTGTGTGTGTGTGTGTGTTCGTGCGTAGGTGTGTATATATATATATAAATTATAAATTAACTGATTTAGTTTATGGTTTTTTCGCTACACATTAATAACCATGTTTCAAAAACTGAATCTAAAAACTTCAAATAATTAAATTAAAAGCATTAGTACCGTTTCACCTTCAAGCGTTTGAAGATGAAACGGAACAATGTTTTTAAAATTTAATATCTATAAGAACACCGGATTTATATCTTACTGTTCTTTTCTTTCTTTATATATATATAAAAGTTTTTAGATTCAGTTTTTGAAACATGGTTATTAATGTGTAGCGAAAAAAAACATATTTTAAATCAGTTAATTTATAATATCCATGCTCTGTAAATTTACATTGAGCAATATTTTGTAAAAATAAAAATAAGAAATATCTATAAGAACACCGGATTATATATCTTACTGTTCTTTCTTTCTTTATATATATATATATATATATATATATATATATATATATATATATATATATATATATATATATATATGAACTATAATTAAATGTATTCACGACTATTTCTCTAGTAGTTAATCTTGAAGGTGTGGATTAGTGGCATCTACCAGTTCGCCCACGTCGTAATCGGATGTCACACAGATTTAAAGTGGGTCTATCGGCCATACCGTGCAAAAATTCAGAAGACTCCTCGGCACTTTTTTGGGACGCATCAGGCAGCGAGTAATAAACCCAGCCCGCTTCCGTGGCTGAGGTGCTGCCTGGGGGAAAAACCCTGGATCTTGTGATTATATCCAATGAAGCCCAGGATTAGTTTCAACTACATCTGAATCATCTTCGACTTATATGGTGGAAATTTGCCTTTGAATACAACAATGAGGATGAAAAAATATTTAGAAACTTTCAAAATAATAAATATAAATCCAATGCTTATATTTATTTATTTCCTGCCTTTTAGTTAGTTACGATCTTGTTTTGAAGTCTGTTCTTTTATTGTCCTTTCTCCTTGTAGAAGTTTTCTTTCATTCTGAGGTCACAGAAGAATTTCATCACGACTAAGGTGATAAAGCCTATCGCCTTGGTCGGGATGAAATCATTAACATAAATGTTTATCTAGAAGTCATTTACCTTTCTGCACATGCGTATAAAATGTGTGAATCTTCAGCAAAAACATCACGCGGTTATGACGTCATCAGAGTCGTCAATCTCCAGTTCACCATTTTGTGCTGGGGAGCCCTTGACTAAACAAATGAATGACGCTATTAAGCAACATAGTGACGATTTGAGCGGCACAGACCTTGACAAGATATTAAATATTCCTTCGTTCATCTAAGTAGTTTGCTAACAACAAAGTTCTTCAGCCATATGACGCTCCATGGATAATTTCTGCACAAGTGGCTAAGAGAAAACGATGTGAATTCATAAGTAAACAAATGGTAATTCAAACAGAGATACAAGATGTAAGCACCGAAGTAAATAAATCTTTTGCAGATATTTGCTTTCAAATATTTACTTTCCCTCACTGTATATATATATATATATATATTTAAATTGCTCAATATCATATGCAAATATAAAAGCTGACAGCAAAGTCAACACTCAGAGACGACAGCCCGTTTTATGCTAAACGCAATCGTCAGACCATTGATCATTTTTAGAATCAGAATTCAATATCCATATATATATATATATATATATATATATATATATATATGGGTGTGTGTGTGTACGCAAGTGCGTGTGTGTGTGTGACGAAAGACGAAAGGAAAACTGATCTTAGCCGGCGCGTTTCGCCTTCTGATGGGCCTTCATCGGTATACAATAAAATATTTAGATTTAGCTTGATAACGTTCGCCAGAAGAAAAATTCGCCGGTTATGAAAAGTCTTCCTTTTGTCTTTATTCCAACGATCATTGTCTTTTTTATAGATATAATTCTAGTCATATCTAAAATTTTACACACACACACACACACACACACATATATATATATATATATATATATATATATATATATATATATATATATATATTAAAACATTTTTTTTTTTATACATTCTTTTATAGATACAAATATTTAAGTAAATGCTCTGTTTTATAATAAGCAGTATTAATAACATTTACCGGCCTGAATGTCCAAGAAACGTCTATTTTAATAATAATAATAATAATAATATATATATATATATATATATATATATATATATATATATATATATATATATATATATACGTGTGTGTTTCATTTTTATTAAAGCGTTTATGTTTCATATTTATTAAAGCTTCATCAGAGATTGTGAGAAAACAGACAACATGATAGAAGTTTTCAATTCTGTTCAGGTCAGTTCTCATTGGTCAGACACGTGTCCCGTGCATTAAAACCTTGGATAATTCTAGATTTATGTAAGTTTGTAAAGATTTCTGTATGTCTAATTTGGCATTGGATGGTAATGTATATCCGTAATTATATGTATGTGTGTCTGTCTAGCGGGAGCTATAACGTCTTTACCCACGTGCTGTCAGCCAGCGCAGCAAGGTGTCACATCATTTTAAGTTATGGCTGATTTCTTTGGGCATGTCCGCTTTGTATTAGATATATATACATATTAGTTAGATTCATTGTTCCAATACAAAAAATGTTGATGTAGGGGTGATTATCGCGTTATCTAAAAGCCTGCATCTTCGAACACAAGAGGGACTTGTGTTTGGACTGTCGATTTTAATTTCTCGTTTTGCATCGAAATGAGGCTGCACATAACTTTGATTTCACTAATGACACCTATTATAATGGTGTAAATTCGTTTCAAACATCCTCGTCGCCACTGTTATATTCCGTGCTAAGGGAATAAACACATAACACGAGGTGGATACTAGAAGAAAGGTTTATTGTACACAACAAGTACAATATGAAATAAGATACAGTTATACACACAGGTCTATCTAGTAGTGAGTGTCACTAACTGGAAGGTCGGGCGTGCTTGCGTCGTCTCGCTCTCACCTCCTCTGTCTGGCCTGGAGCCTCTCGTCGACAGTGGACTTTATAGGTACTTAATACCTATAGTGTAATCATTCATGGGGGTGAGTGGTTATTCCATTACATTACCACCCTAATTGGAAAAGAACAGTTCCTTAAAGAAGAAATATATTGGAAGCTTGATAATAATAACTTGTATTCCTGGAACTTTTCATTAAATCGCCATCTTTCTTTGAATGTATTCTAAGGGAATCTAACTTATATCTATCTAACAAAAGCATACAATATTTCTGTTGTACTAAACAGATTTAATCGCATGTTCTATTCTAGCAGTTTCTTTCCTCGTCCGTAAAACTCTCTTCTGTTTTCCCGCCACCTGCAATCTCCAAAAATTAAATGCAACGCTAATCGCCATCTTCTATCCTCCGGAAACCCGTTACTTTATTTTATTTTCTCTTCACTAAAGTCTTCTGATTATCTTTCAGTTGCATTTGCGTCTTAGTAATAGTGTAGGGTAAAATGGTTTAAAAAAAAAGGTTAGATGAATGAAGAGAGCAAGGGATACAGAGGAAGGTCGGACCTAAAATGAAGAGAGTACGGAATTCAAAAGAAAGGGAAAGATTGAGATATATATATATATATATCTAATATGCTCTCTCTTTTCTGCAACATCTGCTCTCTTGCTGTATCAAACTCATAGATAGATAGATAGATAGATAGATAGATAGATGTGTACAGACTAGGATAGATAGATAGATAGATAGATAGATAGATAGATAGATAGATAGATACAGTACAGACTAGGATAGATAGATAGATAGATAGATAGATAGATGTGTACAGACTAGAATAGATAGATAGATAGATAGATAGATAGATAGATAGATAGATAGATAGATAGATAGATAGAAAGAAAGAGTACAAAGGGGAAGCATGAAATAGATAGAGATATATCTCATAGATGAAGAGAAAGAGAGTAAGAAGTACAAAGAGTGCTTCAAATAGATAGATAGATGGATACAAAATAGTCCGGAAAAGATAGATAGATAGATAGATAGATAGATAGATAGATAGATAGATATGAATCAGACTATGATAGATAGATAGATAGATAGATAGATAGATAGATAGATAGATAGATAAAGATCAGAATATAATATAGATAGATATAAATAAATAAACAGGTGTAACATATGTTAAGTGGCTTATAAAATTACATGTTAATATATTTAAGTAGATTTAGATCTAATGTATAGATTTTTTTATCTGAATATTTTCTGAATACTTTCAAATATATATATATATATATATATGTGTGTGTGTGTGTGTGTGTGTGTGTGTGTGTGTGTGTGTGTGTGTGTGTGTGAAAATATATAGAAAATAGGAAGGAACTGGTTAGGTAAATAATCCAATGTCCCTTAGTATTTTAGTTATTATTTTTAAAAAATAGTGCTCAATACAAAAGTAGAGCATAAATATAATTATTTATTTAAAAATATGATTCCAATTCACGACATAAGAGGTCTCATGTTTCAAAACAAGAGCCGAAAACTTCAATATAATTATTTGAATTAAATTGAGTTAAAGTAAGCTCTGTTCCATCTTCAAGCGAAAATCTTTTTAGAATGATTCCCATAAAAATTTCGCTTGAAGATGGAACAGAGCTTACTTTAACTCAATTTAATTCAAATAATTATAATGAAGTTTTCGGCTCTTGTTTTGAAACATGAGACCTCTTATGTCGGGAATTGGAATCATATTTTTAAATAAATAATTATATATATATATATATATATATATATGAATATAATTTAAAGAAAAACAGGCCACTTTAAGGTTCCATTGTAATCGTTTATTTCACTATTAAAGAACTATCAAAGGACGCTGGATCATCAGACATCACTTCCAAAGGTGAAACGAAAAATGTAATTAAAATTTACACTTTTGACGGGTAGTATTAAGTTTAAGCAATTTAACAAAGAGGGTCGCGAGGAGTGGTGTGAGAGACATGGTCGAGTTTAGAGAGGGTTTATTTTAATATTTCTTTCTACTATACATAGTATTGAGGAAGGAGGGACCAGCTCTGAATTTACATTGAGCTCTCAGGATTTCATCCTCCTTGGAACTACCCATACGGATTGCCAAGTTTTTCGTAACTAATATATATATCATAGATAGAGAAATAGAGCAAGCGGTACAAAGACTGCTTTAGATAGATAGATAGATAGAGATAGATAGATAGATAGATAGATAGATAAAGATCAGAATGAGATAGATATAAGTAAATAAACAAATAAACATGTGTTAAGTGCCCAAAAGAACTACATGGCAATATATTAAAGTCATTTTAGATTTCATGTATATAGATTTTTTTATCTGAATATTTTCCGGATATTTTCAAATGGATATATTTCATAGATAGAGAAAGAGGGCAAGGGTTACAAAGACTGCTCAAAATAGATAGATAGATAGATAGATAGATAGATAGATAAAAAACAGAATGGTATAGAAATAAATAAACAAACAGGTGTAACATATGTTAAGTGCTCGATAGAACTACGAGTGAATATACTGAAGTAGATGTAGATTTGGTATATATAGATTTTTTATCTGAATATTCTCTGGATACTTTCAAATAGACTGAGAAAGAGGACTAGGGGTACAAAGAATGCTTAAGACAGACAGATAGATAGATAGATAGATAGATAGATAGATAGATAGATAGATAGATAAAAACCAGAATGGTATAGAAATAGATAAATAAACATAAACAGGTATAACATGTGTTAAATGCCCGATGGAATTACGAGGGAATATATTGAAGTATATTTAGAACTGATGTATATAGATTTTTTTTTATCTCAATCTTTCTGGATACTTTCAAATCAATTCCTGATATTAAATCGATTCTAGGAAAATTACATGAAGATGCATCTTTTCTACATAGACGTTTCAATAAAATAATCACGATTCGAAGAAACAATTTTTCTATATCGCCTTATCCAACATTTACTTATGCGAATTCGGTTTCTGTTGTCAAATGCCATTATGTCAGGTTTTATCAACCGATTTTTATGCCTCATTCAAAGCTTGAGATCTTTTGTCGTATGGACTAATTTCTGCTGGATTTGATGACTGTGCAAGTATTTGTTTATCGTAACTTTTCTTTCCATTTAACATTGATTAAATAAATA